CTGCTCTTCTCTCCCCCTCCCCAGCGGAGCTGCAGGAGCAGAAGAAATACCTGAACCGGCGGCTGATCAGAGTGTCCTCCAGGTGAGGGAGCCGGATGTGGGGTCCCCATGTGCTGGCCTGCCCCAGCCGCTTCAGAAGAGACCCCTGTTTCCTGCCCCTCCCTGGCCTGGCTTCCCCCCTGGCTGAAAGAGATCCCCAGGTCCCTCCTGGCTACCCCATCCCACCCTCCGCCATGGCGATGGAGCCCTTCCAATGCCCCTTGCCCTTCAGAGCGGCTCTCGCTGGGCCTGGGCGATGGGTGGGGTCGTGCCCTTCCCCTAAGAGCGCTTCTCCCCCTGTCATGTGCCGGCTAAGCCAGGCCTGCTCTCCTTCTAGGCAGCCCAGTGAATCCTGGATCCCAGAGGGCGTGGGGCTAGAGGCTCCCGCAGCAGAGCAGCCAGGGGCCAATCATCTGGAGGCCCTGGATGTACCGGAGCCCGGGGCCAATTACTTGGCGGCACCAGGGCTAGAGCCCGGGGCCAATCACCAGGAGATGCCGAAGCCTGGGGCCAATCGTCTGGAAATGCTGGAGCTAGAGGCCAGTCACCTGGGGATGCTGGAGCCTGGGGCCAATCCTCTGGAAATGCTGGAGCTAGAGGCCAGTCACATGGGGATGCCGGAGCCTGGGCCCAATCGTCTGGAAATGCTGGAGCTAGAGGCCAGTCACCTGGGGATGCCGGAGCCTGGGGCCAATCATCTGGAAATGCTGGAGCTAGGCACCAATCACCTGGAGATGCTGGAAGCGCTGAACATGATGAGGTTCGATTCATCTGGTGAGTCTCCAGGTCCCGGCCTAGGGGTGGGGGGCCAGGCAATGGGTGGACGTTGGCCCCAAGCGGGTGGGGTAACAGAGGCCTTCCAGGTACCCCTCAGTCCTGAGCCCCAGCTCCCTGGTGTCTCAGCTCCTTTTCCCCAGGCTCTGCAGCCCCCGGCGCCCCCTGAGCCCAGCTCCCCTTCTCTTGCAGACCCCTTCCTGCCTCCGCCAGATGATGCACCCCCGCCAGAGCTGCCTGGCCCCCCCTTGTTCCTGGCGGCTGACGACATGCCTCCGCTCCAGGTTGACTCCACGGACTTCCAGTGACGATGTCTCGCCCGGCTGAGCCCTCACAGGGGCCTGGAGCTCAGGGGCTCTGCCCCCACCCTGGCTGTGCCCTCAGCTGGACGGCAGGCAAGGCCTAGCCCAGCCGCCGGACGGGCCCCAGGGGTTGGCTTGCCCCCCGCCGGTGGTGCCTTGTCCCCCCTCCACGTGCTGGCAGGGGCGGGGTGCAGCCATCTGGGGGAGGGGTGCTGCCGTGCACACTCGGACCCCGGCTCCCCGGGGTCCTAGAGCGGGGGGCGTCTGCAGCTCTTGGGCTGACATGGGCAGGGGGACAGTCCCTGGCCACAGGGAATCTCTCTTGTGTGTGTATATATATCTGCCCCCCCAGCTCCCTGTGGTGCTCAGGGGGGGCTCCATGGTGCTCCCCTAAAAATAAGTCCCTCCCCCTTGTGTGGGAGGTCTTGTGCTGGCAGAACTCTCCTGCTGCCAGGGCCTGTTGCCTTCTGGTGGCCACCCTGAGCACGTCACCCCCTTGCCTGCCATCCACCCCCCACCAGAATTCGGGCCCTGGCTTGAGGCCCATGTGCTGGGCTGGCTCTAGGGCAGAGGGCCTGGATTTGTGGGGGGAGCTGGGCTGGGGCCTGTGCTTGTGTTACCAGGCAGCCCCCATGGGGCTGGGCCAGAGTTGGATTCCTAGGGGGTCAGAGCTGGGACTAAGGCATCCCGCCCCTCCATCCGTCCCCCTCCTCCACTCTGCCCTGCTAGGGAGAGGAGAGGAGGCCAGCTGCCTGTCCCTGGTATTCTCCCAGGGAAGGGAGTTCGTGGGGCTGAGCTGGAGCCGGAGGGCCACCCCCCCTGCAGCAGTTGGCGTTAGTGCTCTTCCCCCAGGCTGCTGGGGGAGAAGTGGGAATTGTTCAGAGTATTTTGTATGACTGTGGTGGGTGCCTCAGTTTCCCCGGGGTGCTGCATTGGTCCCTAGGTGCGGGTGGGCTAGGTGGCTTACTCCTTGCAGAGAGCCAGGCCTGTGCTGCCTGGCTGGCTGGTAGCTCCCCTACTGCCGTCTCAGAAGGCACCGGCCCAGCCAGGTAGACAGTCGGGGGCCGGCCCACCAGCAGAACAAAGCGGAGGCGGCTGGCCGGAGCTGAGGTTTGCTCCGGCACAGAACGGAAGCCGGAGGAGGCTGGGGGCCGTGATGGGCAGGCCTGCGCGGACCCTTCGGGCCTGGCTTTCTGGGCCGTGTGCCAGCCGGTTATTAAACTCCCCCATCGCCGCACCACTGAGCCTGGTCTGTACAAATCAACGTCCTTTAATAGGCACTGGAGGCTGCAGAGACATTAAATATCATAAATAGCGGCCCGGCGGGGCATAAATAGACAGCGACTGCTCATAAATAACCCCCGGCCGGGCAATAAATATAAATACACAGGGAGGGGTGGGGTTCTCCGGCCAGCCCCGGGGCCGAGGGCTGGGGTTGCTGGGAGGTGCAGCCCGAGCGCCAGCCTAGCGGGTGGCCGCGCCGTGGGCGAAGACCCGCGCCATCACGGCCGAGAAGGAGCGGAGCTGCTGGAGGATCCGGTGCTGGAGCAGGGGCCGTTCCCAGGGCTGGCTCTGCTGGGGGGGTATCGTCGGCGGCTCTGGGGCCAAGCTGCCGTCCTGCGGGACAAAGAGGCGGCGGGTTACGCTTGGTGCTGCGGCCCCCCGGCTGGGGGGGCCCCTTAGGGTCGCGCTCTCCGGAGCTGACGGGGTGGATTGTGGCTTATTTCCCCCTGGCCCACGAGGCTCCCCCCTCTCCTGGAAGAGGCTGGTCAGCTGGGCCAGGGCGCTCCGCAGCGCCGCCACGAGTTGGGCGTCGGGGCCCTTGAGCTCGGTGAAGACCTCGGAGCCCAGCAGGGCACGGTAGTGGGTCAGGGCCTCGTGAATCCGGTCCAGGCATCTCTGGGGGGGGGTCCTCCTCCACCAGGGACAGCTGGGCAGGGAGCAGCACAGCCCTGGGTCAGCCTGGCAGAGGGGCAGTTTCCTGCCTGTGGCCCTCCCACCCCCCAGCTCAGCCCTGTCCCCCTTGCTTCCTCTCCCAGCTCCCATTTGGCTGCTGCTCCCCCCTCCGCCCCTCTTCC